GTTATATCATTCATGAGGTCCATGTTTGAAACTTTTAAAGTTGCATTTCCACTTCTGATGTCATCAACAGCAATCTTTAAATCACAATTTAGTTCTTCAAGAATTTTTATTTCTTCACACAGTAAGACATTCTCGGTCTGGGTGTTATGGAGACAAGAGGTGACTTTACTTAATTCCAATCTCAAGCCAGCCACTGTAGATTCAAGAGCGGTTAAATTTGTTTGAAGATTAGCTAGACGGTTACATGTAGGCCTACCCCTTTCGTTCAATTTATTTACATTTGAGGATCTTTCCGGGACATGCAGACGACTTGTTCTGTTCTGTTTGATTGTACCGGTACCTTTACTTTTATCATTCGTTTCAGTAGATGAAGGGAGTTCCCAAGAAATATTCTGCAAACTTGATTCGTGCATGGAGGTAGTAGAATTTGTGTCAGAGTCAGAGAGATCAGGTGTACTTAAAGTTAAATCTTGGTTTTCATATAGACTGACTGGGAAACTTTCCTCTGACTTTTCACTAGATTGGTCAATTTGATGGCTCAGGTTGGAGCTGTGATATAGTGACTCTTTAACGACCTTACTTAAATCTTCAACTCTTTCATTACTAATGAGGTCAACGATTTCGGGAAAGTGGTCGGTTAAAAAAATGGATTCTACGGAGCCATTCACAAGGACAGTGGACGTGGTATTATAGTAATTGTGGGGGGATATCTCTTATTCCAGTTGAACCATGGTAGTTTCTTATTCTAGCCTAAAAGCATGCATTCACCCCACCATGGCATGGCCAGTAGAGCGAGTTTACTTGAATGTGTAGGAAAGTTCTGGGAAGCGAGCTGCCTAAAAGTCTTACTACTTTTATATTTTTCTTATTTCAGTAAACTATGTATGGGGTAAAATACCTGGATGTTTTGTAATTTGGCCCTTTAAAATCTTAGACATAAACATTGCAGATGATATGGTTGATGTCTATGTTCATTCTGATGATACAATGTAAGTTTCTTGAGTTATCCCAGTGTGAGCTCTGTCATTTTTTACATTCATTCTGGGAACCATTTATAGGGTAGCTCAATAAATCCAAATTTTGTCACAGCTTGCAATATCTTCATTAACTGACTATGTTGTATGTGTTATTTATCTTGATTAGTCTCATAGAAGTATACTAGGAGTTATAGCATGTGAAAATACTTTCTAACATATGTCTGCTTTTTTGCATCTAGATATACCATCCCACAACTAAAAGAAAAGGGTATTGCTAACGAGTTCTGTAAAGATAGCTATATTCTTAAATCACTTGAATTAATGTTTGTATTAGGGCCGAAACAATTATCGGTGAATCGGTGTACCAAAATTTATTCTATCAAAACAAACAATATTTTTTAGTAGAAAATCTATAACTGCGATTATTATTTCAATTTAAGGTTCACAATATATTTTTCACCGTATCATGATATTTATCCAATAAATTAGCCGAAAGGCCTTATTAGAAAATAGCTCATCAGTTCAGTGTAAAGAAAAATCCTGGTAGCTATAAATAGAATATAATGTCGGCACTTGGCCTGAGTCTTTAGTAGTCCCGGCCATTTAGACTGCATATCATTGCAAAATCTGACCTACTAATGGCGTGCAAAGTAGGATCTGGAAACATGATAAGACAATATTTTCCATTGGACAAAATACCGGAAGCTGTCAATTTCACACAAATTAAATCGCATTATACAGGACACAGATCACCAAATATTCGGCGATTTTTGTTGACTTTTTGGTGTAGAATTGAGGAAAAGGGTTTGAAAATACATTTTCTGCCAGGTTTTGGTGAATATTCATAATTTTGATGCGGAAGGATACAAGAGTTGAGAGGTTGGTTACGTTGAAATGTAGGGCCTGAAATTGCATGTTTACTTGTCTCTACTTCCAGCTTGTGTATCTCAAGTTTTTCATGAAGAACCTCATACGTGCTTTTGGGCAAGTGGTTGCCACATGTTGCTCCATCTGTGGTAGAAAGCGTTCTACCCAACGAAAATTTGGGAAAAAGTTAGAGCCGGTCTAAGATACGAGAATTAACATTGGAGTCAATGGGGCAATCTTTAGTGATCTGTGTCCTGTCTGTGTGTGATAAGGCTGTCACTGATATGCCTTAGTTTTGAAAATATGAAGATTAAATTCTCAGAAAATATGAATAAAATAGTTTGGCTACAGAAAAACTAAAAAAAGTTAATGAAAAAAAAAAAAATAAAAGTTTTGAAGAAAAATTGTAATTTTACTGCAAATTTCTCAATTTTCAATTTTTATTGAATTTTTAACAGTAAGTAAAATATTCTAATGCCCAATGTTGGCTTATTCAGTCTCAGAAAGCACAGATAAAGTGAACAGTATTGAAATTTCACCAAATTTTGTCTAAAAATCAGGAATATTCACAAAAAATCTTGAGATTCCCCCCATTTGGATGTAGAAATTAATATTTTCATGACTACTAAAATGAGTCAAAATGTCTAAAAATGCCCATATTTTCTTTGCTAATATAACTTAGATGGGATCTACATGTTTGTCAGGTTTAGAAATAGCTCCAGCTTTCCTACAGAAAATTTAAAATTGGTAACACTGAGTTAATAATGTACAGCAGATGGGTTTGTACAAAATGTTCAAAACAGGGGTTGGCTCAATTTTGCCACTATTTTACCCAGAATAAGCATTTTTTTCTCCTTTGAAACATTAAATTCTTGCATTTCCTTCATGTAGGAAGCAATATCCCAGCCTTTCTAGACATTTTTTACTCCATCATTCTGTTTAGAGAGGCAATAAATGCCCCACCCCACCCTTTTCTATTAATGTGTTTTGAGGGATTTAAATGCACCTGTATTGACATGAAAATGATCTTAATTGGACTTTGTGGTTGAATTACAGCTAAGAATGTTATTTTTCACCCAAAAATATTTTTTTTGTGCATTTCAAGGATTTCTAACCCTTATTTGTTCAGAGTCAAACGTAGAACCCTGAGGCATTTCAGGCCAATGAGACCAGACCCAGATATAAAACTGGTGTAGATGTGTAAATGTCAGTTTAATGTTCAATATTTTCTTATCAAAATCCAGCATTTGTGGTGTTTGCTGCATTTATGTTGCCTATAAAACAATAAAATGTTAATTTTTCTCCTTTTCAGGCCTCTTTTTATGTTGTCAAGTCTGTCATGGCTACTTTTTTGACTTCATTTTTTCAGGAAATTAATGTAAAGTTCCAGACATCTTGCTTCAGCACAAGGATTGCAATACAAATTTGTAACATGCCTCTGAGGTTTGAGATGTTGGAAACATTGAAATATTCCCAAATTTGTGAAAATTGTGTATTCTGTGACCCTTCTGTTAGAGAGGGGTGATCATAGACCAAATATGGCATTTTTTTCATTCATCAAGGCCTATTTTTAACCATAATTCATATTTATTGCACCTATTTTAGTTTATATGTGCATATGTTAGCCAGGGATGGTAAAACATAGCTGTTAGACAGATTCCTTTGGTAATGTAAGTTCTGCAACCATAGATTAGATTAATTCAATCAGTGGCATGTTCAGGGGGTAGGCATACATGTTTCAGTATAGATCTCTAATATTACAATCATTGCAACTGGTTTGCATTTTTTCTGTTTGCATATTGTCCACAGATTCTAAAAATATATTTCTTGTCCGTCCGGATATTTAAAAAAGTGGAAAATTATTGGTATTTTGAGAGATGCTACATGTAAATTTTGTACATTTTTCATCACATGGCAGTAAAAAATTATATTTTTGAAAAAAATTCCAAATTATGAGTGTTTTCTATGTAGTTTCTTTGTAACTTGTCTAATTTTTTCACAGAACTCAGATACTGCCTTTAATAAGAAAGATTTTTAAATTTTAGCACAAAAGGCCTATGGACCTGAGATGCACCAGTGTACATAAAGCAGCATGTGTACTTAAAGGGCCATCATTTTTACAGTTATTCTTTGATTTTGATTTTCTTTCACCGGCATGTTGCCAGAACACATGGGAAGGAAATAAAAAAGGCCTTTTGGTGATACCTGAAGTTTCACCCCTATATAGGACACAGATCACCAAATATTCCTACGCCGTCACCCACGAAACAAGGGCCAAAGCTATTTTTAGTCTTCCTCTCCCTTTTCCTTTTTCCCCCTTTTGCATGGCGATTTTTGTTGACTTTTTGGTGTAGAATTGAGGAAAAGGGTTTGAAAATACATTTTCTGCCAGGTTTTGGTGAATATTCATAATTTTGATGCGGAAGGATACAAGAGTTGAGAGGTTGGTTACGTTGAAATGTAGGGCCTGAAATTGCATGTTTACTTGTCTCTACTTCCAGCTTGTGTATCTCAAGTTTTTCATGAAGAACCTCATACGTGCTTTTGGGCAAGTGGTTGCCACATGTTGCTCCATCTGTGGTAGAAAGCGTTCTACCCAACGAAAATTTGGGAAAAAGTTAGAGCCGGTCTAAGATACGAGAATTAACATTGGAGTCAATGGGGCAATCTTTAGTGATCTGTGTCCATACAGTTATTTTGTCTTCGCGATGCCGGTGGCTTAAGAAAACCGTATTGAAATTTTGTTTTGCTTTCGGCGATATTTCACGTTCGAGTATTATGTCCAGTATGGGGCGCGTCGAATTACCCAATAACACCCAATAACTGCCCAATAACACCCAATAACGGCCCAGTAACACCCAATAACTCCAAAATAACAACCAATAACTACAAAATGTTGACTTTGGAAACACAAAAAAACAATTTAGTTGAATTTAAGAAGCATCGCTGCTTTGTGTCCAAATCTGAGTTTCACGCTCACTCGCCTGAAGGGAGATAACTCGTATATGTGATTTTTGTTGACAAGAAATTAATTCAGCTAAAAGGTCGGAATATTTGTTATTGTTGACACTGAAATGTTTCTTATTGAAATTTTTCATTCGTCCAAATGTTGTTTGAAAGCACACCTCATAGATATTAAAATTTTGTATATTTCAGTTGATAACAAGTATGCTAATGAAGGTGGTACTATGGAATGTGAAGACACTGATGTTCTTCCTGAAAAAGCTATGGTAGAAGAGGAAATGGTAGAAAAAGACAGTACAAATGATGAACAAACTTCTTGTGAGTATTCTACTGTTGTCAGTGGTACAAGACAGGGGGCCTGGCTACGACAATGTCTTGTGTTTCGGATGGGACGAACAACTGAGGCCCAGTTTACATGTAGGTGTGCACGTAAGAGAACCCTTGACAGTTGGAATTCGAAATAACTGTAGCACCTCTGTCCGGGCAATATTTCCCTCATAGCACTCTGCATGGCATCCCCTTTGCAGTGGTGCAGGTCTAGTGGTTCGGATGGGACAAAAAACCGAGTCCATATTCACACGTAGCACGTAAAAGAACCCTTGACAGGATTGTATATAACCCTCTTACAAACAAATCCAAAACTATAATGCTCAGATTTGTGAAAGCACTCGACATGTATACGAATAATCATACATTCAAACAATTTAACATTCATTCTGATATGTTTTCAGGGGTTAATTTGAATGGTGAAAGTAAGAAAGGTACATGTAAGCAAGTCAGAAGATATTGGACAGCCGATGAGAAGAGAGCTGTTTCTGAACAGTTGGGTAACAACAGTTGACAAATGAAAGTTCCCGGTAAACTGGAGAGACATCAAAGATTATATTCATAATGTTATCCAGTCTAAAAAAAAATCATGAAGCATTTTTAAACATGTTCTGTTGTTGTCCTCCGCCTTTCATTCGTCTGTCTGTCCGTCACAATTTTTGGGACACAATAACTTTTCTTCTAATTGAGTTAGAATGTTCAATCATGGTGAAGGTGTTTATTAGGTAAATAGCTTGACTGAGTTCGACATTGAGCAATTTCTGCTTTGGCTAAGCAAAGATAAGCAATTTTATTGGTCGATGCTTTGGGACAAAATAACTTTTATTCTAATTAACTGAGAGTGGTGAAACATGTTAGTCCCGAAATGACCTAGTTTGTGTCGAGTGGACGTTAAACCCCATTTCTCTCTCGCTAAGACTTTATTAGGTGAATGCCTTGACAGTTCGATGATGAGCATTTTCCACTAAGGCTGAAGGAGATAATTTGATGGGTCAATGATTTGGGACGCAATAACTTGTATTCTAATTAACTGAGAGTGGTGAAACATGGTGTATAGTTTCATTACATCAATACCTTGACTAGGTTTGATGTTCAGAATTTTATGTTGGGCTATGTAGCGATAAGCGATTTGATTGGTCAAGACAGTAACTTTGCTTTTAATTGAGGTAGAATCTTCAAACTTGGTGTTGATGTTCATTGGGTAAATGTCTTGACTGAGTTCGACGATTAACATTTTCCGTTAAGGCAAAGCAGAGATAAGCAATTTGATTTGTCGATGCTTCCGGATGCGATAACTTTTATTCTAATTGAGGGAGAGTGATGAAACTTCGTGAACTTGACCAAGTTCGACCATGCGCTTTTCTGCTTAGGCTAAGTATAGAGAAGCAGATTGATTGCTCCATGTTTATCAAAAAGATAAATAATGTGCAATTAATTAATGTGTCATCTATTTATTTGGAGATTGCGTTGGGGGACATCAGCCTCACCGTTGGCTTTTTTATGCTGTTATGTTTGTTTAAATTTGTGTCATTATGTACTTGTGCATGACAAGGTGTAGGGTCGCCTGTCTAACCTTGTGGGTTTTCTCCGTTTTAAGAGATCTAAAACGAAAACCATGAAACATTTATAAACATGTTCTGTTTGTTTATGCTGTTTTGTTTGTTGCTCTCATGATAATAAACTCAAGTGTTCAAATGAGTAAGAGAGAGGTCAAACCTTCATGGTTAATATTGGATATTATCAGGTTGAATTGATTGTAAGTTTTTAAAATAAATATTAATTATAATATATTTTCAAAAAGTTATTTATACTTTAGGTTACATCTGTTAATCTTCATAAATTAATCAAATTGCTTTTATTTGCAATACATTTTAGAGATTACAATTTATTATTGTGTGTTTTCTTTGAGGATATTTAAGATTTTCTTTCATAGGAACTAATTACAATTCAAAGTTTTATGAATGAATCGGCTTAATTGATTTTTTGAATAATCTTGTGGATGCTCTAGAGGCTAAAGTTATCATTCGATTGACTTGAAATATATACACAGGAAGAACGAGAAGCCAATCAATTTTTTATTATTTCTGATAATTACTTGATGGATTGTTACTCATAATCAGTTTTTGATGTCTTGTGAATGCTCCTATTACCTACAAAAGAATAAATATGTGACATCCTTTGTACTTATTACTTTTCAAATATTCTATTACTCATTACATTATCATTACTTCAAAAATGATATTTAAACAAGATGGCGTCACGCTAAGACACGGTAAATTTCGCTGCGTGGATTATTGCTTGTTCATGAAGAAACTCTTTTAAAGAATCTACACGAAAGTTTAAAGTGATACGTGATTGGATTATACTATAAACTAATCAACTTATAATCAGTAAAAACAACAAAAACAGTGAGTTTTTTGCGATTGATTTATTATCCCCTGGTTTTGTTTACATTTTCAATGGCGTCCCCAGCAACACCGACACCAAGCAGGAAAAGACCAAACACTATCTCACCAATAGACATGCAACGTGAAATATTATTAGCATCAAGTTTGTCCGATTCTGTCCTGAAAAGAACTAAACAAACCAATATAAAATCAATGTTTACCCAATCCGGAAATGATGTTGATAAAACATATAGACCTACATCTGAACACGAAGATGATACTTTGTCTGACATTTCGTTACAAGCTGACCTAACCAACTCTAACTTTAATAACTTCTCTGGTACTATTGACAAAGAGCAGACAAATCTTAAAGAAATCGACACATCTACTTCAGTAACTGACGAAAAAACTGCAAAAACACACCCTATAAACACTTTTTCTGAACAGGAAGATTCCATTTTTGATAAAACCGTAGAGGCACTCACTCATCAAATTGCCCTATCTTTTCACAGCAGGCAAGTTAAGGATGCTATCAGGCCTTTCATAGAACAGATGGTCCAAGAAGAGATTACAAAACAAATTGCTCCTCTCCAAAATGAAATAGAGTCCCTAAAATTACAGTTAGCCACAACATCCCTCCATCTCAATGCATCTGTACAAGACAAGTGTGACGAGCTCGAACAATATAGTCGAAAAAACTGCATACGCATAAGCGGAATTAAAGAAGATTTAAATGAAAATGTTGAAGGTAAAATCATGAAAGTTCTCACCACTATTGATAACTCCCTAAGTCCAAACAACATCGAAAACTGTCATCGTCTAGGTAGAAAACAAGACAACAAGCATTGCCAAATAATTGTAAGACTTAAAAGCTACAAAACAAAAGTACATATTATGAAGAACAGGAAAATGGCTCAAACAGCAATAAAAGGCGTATATATATAAATGAAGACCTGACTAGATACAGAGCATACGTAGCAAGTATTACACGCTGGTCATACAAACAGGGTTTTATTGCTGCCTGCTGGACCAGAGACGGTAAAATATTCATACGTGAAAACAGTACTGTTCCAGGAAAGAATGGCCCGACTCGTAAACTAACAAGCCCGGTTGAAGTGCCCGGTTATAAACCAACAAGTGAAGAACTAATTAATTACAATCTAACCAGTTCACTGCAAGCTCAGACCAACTCTCCATCCGCTGAAATATAGTGTAACATAGAAAATCTGTACATCATTGTTAATATCAATACCTGTGAAGATAACCCTGCCCCCTCAATAACCGACAATAATTCATAAGTGTCTACCCTTTAGAATATAAATTTCCAAAATGTTTTGCCTGTCAAATTTGCATGAAAGATCTAAAAATGAATTTATAAACTTATATATCTGTGAATTTTGCACATTTGATATTAAAGGGAAACAACTCTCTTTAATGCACCATCAATATCCCATTGAATTTTTAATATTACTTATATATATTATTATATGTATTAGCTATATTAATTTTTATGATTATGATATCTTTATTAAGCTTATTTAAGATTGAATTTTATAGCCAACAAACATTATAGTTCTTGTAATAAGTAATTGGAATTCAATAACAAACTTGCTGAAATATAGTGTAACATAGAAAATCTGTACATCATTGTTAATATCAATACCTGTGAAGATAACCCTGCCCCCTCAATAACCAACAATAATTCATAAGTGTCTACCCTTTAGAATATAAATTTCCAAAATGTTTTGCCTGTCAAATTTGCATGAAAGATCTAAAAATGAATTTATAAACTTATATATCTGTGAATTTTGCACATTGATATTAAAGGGAAACAACTCTCTTTAATGCACCATCAATATCCCATTGAATTTTTAATATTACTTATATATATTATTATATGTATTAGCTATATTAATTTTTATGATTATGATATATTTATTAAGCTTACTTAAGATTGAAGTTTATAGCCAACAAACATTATAGTTCTTGTAATAAGTAATTGGAATTCAATAACAAACTTGCATAACCAAATATATACACCTATAGACTTTACCCATATTATATATTTGTTTGTAAATTAGCCTGTCTGTATAAAGCTGGTCTGAAATGTTCTCTGAATCTCCTGCAAAATAGTGCAAAACATAAAATCAAGTAGTTAATCATCTTTAGTAGCTTATTGCAAAGTTTGTAAATCAACTGACTATAGTAAATCAGAAATCATAATACTACACCATTTAGAGTTGTCATTTGTATTGTAAAAGACTGATAATAAGCTGGGAGTACATGTATATGATGCTGTATATGATGCTGTATATGATGTTTACAGGTTTACTGCCAGTGTTATTAACTGCTATGCATGTTATGTTAAGAGTAAGATTATAATAATACATACTGTTTTAAGTTAGATGAAACTGATTAGAAACCAGACAAGTAGAATCCAATCGCTAATTGCTTAGTTCCGAGTAGAGCATACTTCCTTTATATTGTTTAGTTTTTATCTATATTTATAACTGACAACTCAAATTCTCAATTACTATAATATGAATCTTTAAATATCAAGATAGTTTAATATGTAAAATACTTACCCTTATTAGCCCCTGTGCTATGCATGTGCATTAACTGTCTGCAGTTTACTCATCTAAAAAAAAAAAAAACCCCAAAAAACCCAACAATTATTGAGATTGTAAAACTTTTGAATTGATTAATTTTGCTATTACTATAACCCCAATGTTAGTTAATGGTTAAATAACACTGTAGACCTAAAGGCTTTTATGCAGTAAAATTACCAATAACCCCATCCGTCACAGTGCAAATTGTTTTCTTAGAAGATTGTCAATACTCAACTTTAAACATTGACCTAAACAGAGGCCTGCTTCACGAAACTTTGATTAGGACGGAATCTAAGTTTTAGTAATATGATTGGATAATTAGGTCGATTTTATTGCCTAGTATTTACTAAGATTTGAATTTTATCTTTGGTTATATTTTCAAGAAGCAGTAGCCCTGAACTGTCAATGCTAGGGAACTATGTAAATAAAATTGAAGCATATGGTAATCCCAAACTTACCTAGTTTCTCTCAACAATAACAGTATCATTTTTACCTGAAATAAGAATTACTAAGTAATAACACAAATCTGTTGAACTTGAAGTGACAAGTCAGAAATATTAGAAAACAGAACACCAAATTATAAATAATGAAATGACAGTATGCTGCGAAATTGCAAAATACTCCTAAATAGCCCTTGCACGTCATCGTTAATAATGGTAATTGGTATCAAGCTTTGTAACTGTGCCAACTCTCCTAAATATGCACATTGTCCACGTACGATTAACTTTAAGCAGGTAGCTATAGGCCTACTAGGTAGTCTATGAATGAACGATTGTTATGTTACTACTAGTGTTAGTATTCAAATTTTATATATTATAAACAATGTTGGAAACTTTTGCCTTGTTGAGTAATTAACGGTTATGGGCTTGTATCAACAAACTGCACAACTCAAATTAAAACTGTTTATCAAACCAAACTACATGTGAATTTACTCACCACCTAAATTGGCCGTTATTTTCTAAACTGTATTGTGCTGTAAACACCATGCTCTCTTCCCTTGTCGAGCTCAACGTGCCAATCAAAGAAAAATCACGTGACTCTTCCATTCGCACAACATCAACTTTTGCTGTTTTATTTAATTGGTATCAGTCCTTGTTATTTTATGGGATTAATTTACTTTGTACCAATCCACGCACAGCGCCGCATCAATGCTATACCGTGATTATCGATCTTTTATTTGTAAATATGTATATAGATGTGATAACCAATATTTTTGTAAATATGCATATAAGTACTATTTAACATATCAAAATGATTTAAATCATTACCAATGTACATCATCAAATTTTTATGTGTATGTGTGTTTTCCTGTTTATAACTTTGCTTGTTGTTTGTTATTTTTTCAATACGTCCCAAATATTATATCTATGACCCTCTTAGTTTCTGGTGATATTGAAAGCAATCCTGGCCCTCCCCGCAATTTGTCTATTGTCCATCTGAATATAAGGAGTCTCCGCCACAAAGTTGATATTTTAGCAGCTGAACTATCTGAAAAATTTGATATTATTCTCCTCACTGAAACATGGCTTGATAAATCAGTAGACACCAACACATTACTACTAAGATCTTTCCACGCACCTATAAGAAACGACAGGACGTACGGACAGGGTGGGGGTATTGTGACTTACATACGGGACACGCTTTCTGTGAAAAGAAGACCTGACCTGGAAGTCGACGGTACAGAATGCATATGGTTACAACTAAATACTTCATACAAAACTATTTTGATAGGTACATTTTATAGACCTCCAAGTTCTACTGCCGAACAAAACAATAAATTTTTTGATTCGATTGCTAAATCAGCATGCGATAATGTCGATAACTGTTTTATATTTGGCGATTTTAATATCGATTTTATGACTTCAACTCAATCATTTTTACACAATGCAATGATACTTTTTGATTTTTCCCAAGTAATTAATACTCCAACGCGATTCGGAAATCATAATAACTCACTTATAGATTTAATTTTAACTAACTGTCCTAACTATATAAAAGAATCAGGCTGTCTAGATAATTTTTGTAGTGATCATTGTCCTGTGTACTGTCGACTTTCATTTCAGAATCCAAAATTAACATGCTACAGACGAGTTGTTTGGCACTTTAACAATATTAATACAGAGGAAATGCGACGGGACGCTACTGACACGGACTGGGAAAGCCTAATTAACACAGATTCGATTAATACAGCTTGTGTTAACTTCACAAGTGAGCTGACAAGGCTAGCAAAGAAACACATTCCGAATAAAACAGTAACTATTAGACCAAATGACCA